GCCCGAGCCACAAAGGAGTCCTCGTTTCCCTCCCCTGCGTCCTAGGAACCCCCTGACTTGCCCCACTCACTGCTCCCCTGCCCTAGTCTCTTCCCTACCTCCTTGACCCCCACACCCGTCCTTCAGCTTCCAAACCCGTCCCATCGCCTCAACGCTGAGTTTACCAGGATCTTGTGATCTCCAGTCCCCTAACCCATTCTCCTAACCCCAGGTGTTTGCCTCAGGGTCCCTAGTTCCCTTCTTTGGACCAGGGAGCAGCTGAGGACATCAGTCTCCCCACCTTGGGCCTTCCTCTTTATCCCTAAAGACCTCTCAGAGCCCTGCAGGCCAACTCTGCAGCAGGCGCAGATGGGATCCCGTTGTGCACAGCATGTGTGAAGGCTATGGGGACCTGAGGGTGCAGGGTCAGGTGCCAGGGTGGGTGAAGGTGGACCCCTAACACCCTGAGCTGCTGCAGTGCCTGGCCTACTCCACGGGCCCTGGACTCACCCTCACCCAGCCTCTCCTGATCCTCTGTCCTGTCCCTGTCCCTGTCCCTTCTGCCTGCTTCATCTCTCACTCTACCCATCTAGCTATCCATGGCTCAGTGCTCTTTCTCACACATGCGTGTGTTCTTTCTCTCTCCCCTCTGCTTCCATCTCTGTCTGTCTCTAATGCCCACCTGTCTGTGCCTTGGCTCTATGTCTGCCCATCTCCATCTCCAGGTCTGGCTTTGTCTCCCCCAGGCCCCAGGCCTAGCCCCTTGGGTCTTGAGTTCACTCATCTGCAGGGTGAGGGGGTCCTGCTCAGGCCGGGTCTTCCCCTTGGAGCACCTGCTCCTTAGTAGACACAGGCTTGTGTGACTCTACTGCCTCTCTCCTGGAAGGTTCTTTATCCCTGGACCACCTCCCTCAATCACTCGCTCTTCTACTTCCCTCTTGTCTCTTCTTGACTGATTGATTCCCTGTCCTTTCCACTCTCCACTGAGTGTCCCTGCTCTAAATGACCCCATCTTCCCCTGCCCTCTTCCCACCTGACTCTGGGGGCTGGTAGAGTGTGAAGCTCACATAGATCCTTCCCCAAGCTTCATTCTGCCTGGGTTACTAGAATTCCAGGGGTACCAGTGTTGCTTCTCACTCCCATCTTAGGCTCACCCTTACCTGATTCTTCTCGACCTCTGGGTCTTTCTCCTTCCCTCAAGGTCATTCAACAGTGCAGTCTTATAGAAAGAGCACTGGACTGGGAGTCATTTGACTGCTTTTTATCAGCTAACCTTCAGATTCTCCAATGCAACCCTGATCATCCATGTCCCCTCCATACCTGTCCCTGTAACTCTAATCACCTGTCCCTTAGATCAAGCCCTGACCCAGGCCAAGGCACATCAGTTTTAGCCTTGGACCACTAGGGATAGGCTGTGGCCAGAAGGGGCTTCCATCTTCAGAGTCTGGAGTCTCTTGGGCGTGGCTCTTCAATCCATGGAGGAACTGAGAGCCATGTTACGTGACCCCATTTGTGGCCTTGGTTTCTTCCTTCCCTGCCTCATGGCCTTCCCCAGCTTTCCCTTTCTCACCTATAAGATGGTAGATATGGGCCTCACAGCAGGAGATACTCAGGCTCAGGTGTCTCCTCGTCCTACCCCCAGAAAGTCCCTCAGCCCCAGTGAACGTCACTGTAAGGCACCTCAAGGCCAACTCTGCAGTGGTGAGCTGGGACGTCTTGGAGGATGAGGTTGTCATCGGATTTGCCATCTCTCAGCAGGTAACCTTTGAGGGTCCCTGGGAGGGAAGGACACGTCAGGATAGTGGTGGCAGATGCAAGTGGAGGTATGGTGGAGAGAAACAGAAAGCAGAAGGGAACTCGAGGCAAGAGAGATAAGCAGCAAGGTGCACATATGCTTTAAAATTGGGGCCCCAGAAGGGAGGGTTCAGGAATTCTCAACCAGTACAAAGGAATTAAGAGCTTGGTTTTGATGTCAGATACATCTGCATTTAGGACCTGGCTCCAGCACTTACTAGATGTGTGGCCTCAGGCAACTCCCCTAACCTCTCTAAACCTGTTTTCTTCCCTGTAAAATGGAGATAATGAGCAGAGGTGATGGGATGATTAAGATTGTATATGTAAAGGATCTGTCACAACTGGGAGGTATGTAGAAGCAGGGCTGATGACTGGGCGCTGACAGCAGTGGGCTGGCACTTGCTTTTGCAGAAGAAGGACGTGCGGATGCTGCGCTTCATCCAGGAGGTGAACACCACCACGCGCTCATGTGCCCTCTGGGACCTGGAGGAAGACACCGAGTACATTGTGCACGTGCAGGCCATCTCCATTCAGGGCCAGAGCCCAGCTAGTGAGCCTGTGCTCTTCAAGACTCCACGTGAGGCGGAAAAGATGACCTCTAAGAACAAAGGCAGGCCCAGCTCCTTGTTAGGAGAAACAAGAGTGGGGTGAGGGGTGGTCAGGACAAGAGCAGTAGGTAACCTGGGGAACACTCTGTCATACTCATTGCTTCCCCTGCCCCTCTGCCACAAAGTAAATAATACCTGAGAGAGAAAAGGTATCCCTTAAACCCCCAAGATTAGGGGTATATAAACTCCTGCCTTTAGAAGAGTCCTACTGCTCCTACCCCAAGTAGCCATCAAAATGTTCTAGAATCTCTTTCTGTTAGATGTGTGGGCACCCATAGAAATAAGCACTATTGTCTTGGGCTGGGCCCTACAGGAATTGCTAGGGGAGGAAAGGAGCCCCAGACCTACTGTCTCTCTCCCCACAGATGAGATAACCATGAAGGAGATGGGGAGGAACCAACAGCTGAGGACGGGTGAGGTGCTAATCATTGTCGTGGTCCTGTTCATGTGGGCAGGTGAGTACGGCCTCCAAGCCCTTCTTCACTCAGGCTCTAGGAGATGAAGGATCCTGACTGGACCCCCCTCTCTCACAGAAACAGAGGGTAAGGGCTGGAGAGATCTAAAAGGTGATAAGTCTATAAGTCCTACCTGGGACAGCTCTGAAGACCAGATCTGAGCCCTTCTTTAACCCACTCCTCACTAAAATAATAGATTGAGAGCTGCCTTATAGGATTATTTGAGTAATTGGTCTTTTCTCTCCCTCAGAAGTGGTTCAGCCTCCTGGGGATGGACATGTCCACAGCTCCTTTACCTTCTGGGCATGGCTGTGGCCTCTGCTTCCTCTTCTGGGTTGCTAGTTCCTGAAGCTTCAGAAGCTTCAGGCCTGGGCAGTTCACAGAAAGTCATTGCTAACCCTTATGCTTGGGATACTCTCCTCACTTACTCATCCTTTTAGACCTCGTCTGAGATAGTTACCATGAAAACTCCTCCAGTCCATCTATTAGAATGGCTCTCCTGCCTCTGTGTTCCCACTGTTTACTCCTCTCTTTATATAAGTCAGTTGGTCTCATGTTTCTCTTCCCCTCTGTCAGTGAGCTCCTGGCAGATAAAGACCAGAGTTTAGACAGAGTCTCACTCAGTTACCCTGGGGTTGAGTGCCATAGCTCACAGCAACCTCAAACTCTCAGGCTCAAGTGATCCTCTTACCTCAGCCTCCCAAGTAGCTTGGACTACAGGCGCCTCCCACAACAACTGGCTATTTTTTTTTTTTTTTTAAGAGACAGGATCTTGCTCTTGCTCAGGCTGGTCTTGAACTCCTAAGCTCAGGCAATACATCCATCTTGGCCTCCCAGAGTGCTAGGATTACAGGTGTGAGCCACTGCACCAGGCCCCCAAAGACCAAGTTTCATTCATCTTTATACTTAACCAGCATTTACTTAACAAGCACTCCATTCCAAACAGCAGGGCTATAATCCTGACTAAGAAGAGCAAGAAACTCAGTCTGGGAGAAGCCAGGCCTGAATTTAACTCACTGTGATGAGTGCTATAAAGTACTATGCTATATAGTACCATGTATAGGAGCAAAGAAGGAATTAATTCTGTGGGATAGAAATCAGGAAAAAAAAACATGAGATAAATGGGAATTGAGCTTTGAAGGTTGAATAGGAGTCCACCAAGCAGCCAAAAGAGGAAGGGCATTCTAGGCATGGTGTGTTCCAGATACAAATTAATTGCACTCAAATGTTTTAGCGGACCCCAATTCATAATTGCAAAGATGTGGTTACAACCCAGATGCCCTTCAACACATGAATGGATTAGGCTGGGCACAGTGGCTCCTATCTGTAATCCTAGCACTCTGGGAGGCTGAGGCAGTGGATTGCTTGAGCTCTTAAGTTCAAGACCAACCTGAGCAAGACCAAGACCCCATTTCTAAAAAATAGCCAGGTGTTGTGGTGGGATCTATAGTCCCAGCTACTCGGGAAGCTGAGGCAAGTGAATCACTTAAGCCCAGGAGTTTGAGGTTGCTGTGAGCTATGACACTATTGCACTCTAAAGAGGGCAACAAAGTGAACTATCTCAAAAAAAAAAAAAAAATCAAAAAATAACACATGAATGGATTAATAAACTGTGATATGCATATATCTGGGAATACTATTCAGCCATAAAAAGATGGAGATTTTGTAACTTTTATAGCAATTGGATAGATTTGGAAAACACTCTTCTGAGTATCACAGGAATGGAAAAACACTCATCACATGTGCTCAATACTAAAACTGAAACTAGTAGATTAACAACTGTGTGCTTAGGTGAGAGAAAATCTAATGAAATTCAAGAAGGGGGGTTGGAAGACGGTTCTGAAAGTTCCCTCCCAAAGGAAACAATGCAGGAGTACAGAGTATATGGCACTTCCTCAACTGGGACTTACCTTATAAATGCAAACAATGTGACCTAATCCTGTGTACCCTCTTATTCATCTGAAATAAAATATATACATATCTCTACTTTAAAAAAGTACAAATTAAACTCATCTGGCCCAATGCAGCTGCAATTCAAGAGAGACAGTAGAAAATGAAGGATTAAAGGATAGTGAGGCTGTACACTGGAGTCTTTGAGGGGTTTGAATACCATGCCAAAGCTTTATTAGCATGGTGGTTGAGAAGACATGCTTCACTGTAGAAGCATTTAGGGAAAAGTGTTCCTTAGGAACATAGAAAAACAGACGAGGAGGTGGGGAATGGTTGTACAAAGAAAAACAGATGGGGGGGGGAATGGGTGTACAAAAGATGAGGTTTGCTTATGGTGCCTTATTAGACTTGACACAGACAATATTCACATAATCGTAACAATATAAACATAGTGAATAACCAAAATTGTGATGTAATTTTGTTAGGATGATGGGAAGTAGGGGAAGTTGTTAGGCTTTATCTAGCATGATGAGAAGTCAGATATATAAAGCAGGTGAAGAAATAACACTATAGGCCAGGCGCAGTGGCTCTTGCCTGTAATCCTAGCACTCTGGGAGGCCAAGGCAGGTGGATTGCCTGAGCTCACAGGTTCAAGACCAGCCTAAGCCAGAGCAAGACCTTGTCTCTAAAAATAGCCGGGTGTTGTGCCTGTAGCACAGGCACCTGTAGCAGGTGCCTGTAGTCCCAGCTACTTGGGAGGCTGAAGCAAGATAATCACTTGAACTCAAGAGTTTGAGGTTGCTGTGAGCTATGATGCCATGGTACTCTACTGAGGGTGACAAAGTGAGACTCTGTCTCCAAAAAAAAACGGAAAGAAAGAACACTATGAACGTAGAGGTAAAATGGGGACAATACCTACAAGAACTAGAGCTGGCTACCTTAATACTGTCTGACTTAACCCAAGAGTTTGAGGTTGCTGTGAGCTAAGATGCCACTGCACTCTACCAAGGGTGACCAAGTGACCAAGTTAGACTCTCTCTCAAAAAGAAAAAAAACTACTGTCTGACTTTATTATGTTCAGGGATTATTTTGGTGAAACTAAACAGACTGCAGACTCTGGCGTTCACATCCCAGCTCCACCACTGTGTGACCTTGAGCTAAGTTAGTTAAATTCTCTGCATCACCCTTCTCACTTGTAACCTGGAAATGATAATAGGTATCCTCCCTGAGTTGTGAGGATTTAGTGAGCTAGCGCATGTCAGTGCACAGCACAGGGCCTGGCACATGATCCACAGATGCTATCATTGTTTCTATTTTCCCCTCAAGGAAGATGGGAGCTGTCAGAGGTTTAAAGGAAAGGAAGGAGACTTACCAGATGCATGTTGTGGGAAGGTCAGCTTAGCAGCAGTGAAAGAGATGGCTGGGAAGGGGACAGGTGGGGACAATGAGAGGGAGGCTGCTGCAGTAGTGCAGGTAGAGAGACCATCTGGAGAAACCATCGTTCCTGCTAGACATCATGCCAGTGGGAACAAAGCCAGTTCTGAGGCAAGAACTCAGGCCCTGGCCTCTGACTGCTCTCATTTGTCTCCCCCCACAGGTGTAATTGCCCTCTTCTGCCGCCAGTATGACATTATCAAGGACAACGAACCCAATAACAACAAAGAAAAAACCAAGAGTGCATCAGAAACCAGCACACCAGAGCACCAGGGCGGGGGTCTTCTCCGCAGCAAGGTGAGGGCAAGATCTGGGCCTGAGTAGACAGCTGCTTGTGTGCTGGTAGTCCCTGGATTGCAGAAGGGGTCAGCTCAGGGCCTGGCATGGCTACAGTTGGGCAGAGCCAGACTTGGCTGGTGCCTATATGACACAGGGGACACTGCAAATTGATTTTGGATCCTCTCCTTTTGCAGGGTGCCAGGGGCCCACATTGGGAAAAAAATACAAAAAGATTTTAAAAAGAATTCTGCCCAGTGGGGAGGGCAGACTTCTTGGTTAATGTGGGACAGCAAGAGTGGGAGGTTCTGGGCTTGTTTCTGTTCCTGCTGGGTTTTGTGACCTTGGTCAGGTGCTTTACTTCTATACCTTCATTTCCTCTTCTGTAAAACAGATATGAAAAGCCTTTTCAGTGCTTGCTCTGAGCAGCTCAGAAGACAGTAGAGAATGTGAGAGGATTTCATGGTTCTGACGATGATTATCCAACAGACATCTGGCCCTCTCTACATCTCCTTGTACCCTCTGGCTTACTGTCCTCTCTTCGCTTCTCTTTTTCTGGCACATTTTCCTGGAGTCTCTTATTAAACCCCATCTCCAGAAGCACCTCAACAATGTCAGTGGCTGAGGCTGTGCTCAGAGGGATGACTGCTGGGGGAATACTGGGTACCGGGGCCCAGAACCCACTCTTGGCCATTCAGCTGAGTGAGGCCGAAGGCTGGGTTTGAAAAGGCAGAGACGAGCTATCCATGCAGGGCTACTCTTTTCTTTCCACAAGAGACAAGAGCCTGGCTTTTAGGCTGCAGCCCTGCTGCTCCCTTCCTCTTTCTGTCCTGTTTCCAGCCTTCAAAAAGTCTATTCAATTAGCCCTGGCCACTTCTCTCATTTTTCTCCTCCCAGTTTCCAAACAAGCCTTCAGTGAACATCATCGAAGCGTGACTGCCTGTCTGCAGAGAGGATGCCATTTTTCTTCTCTGCTGCTTCCCAGGTGCATGGGCACAGGGAGAGGGATGACTGCAGCAGTGGGAAGGAGGCACAGCTACCTGCACAGTTCTCCCTCTTCCCCCTGTGCTAGTCTGATGAAGGAGGCTGAACTATAAACCCAAATTCTGCAAAAAAAAAAAAAAAAAAAAGCAACAACAAAGCCACAAAACTAAAAGGCCTGGCCCCATTCTGGGAAGGCAAAGCTGCATGAGACACAGCCTTCTGCCTCCTCACCTCTTCTGGACTGGCTTCCTCTTTGAGAAAGTGCACAAAGCTCTGGGACATGACAAGCACTAAGACTGACTCAAGCTGTATCTTTCAGACAAGGAACATCAGGGAGCTGGGGGCTGCCTGCCATGCAGGGTCATTCATGGCTGCCATCAAGCCTTTTCTAGATCTAGCCATCAAGGACGTGTTTGTAGCGTGATACACACCTTTGCAAGTATACAAGATGTTATCTATTTTGTCTCTTTTGGAAAACAAAATTGGAGGGCTTCACTCCAGAGGGCAGAGGGATTCCCTCAAGGACTGAGCTGGTCACCCCTACAGTCTGAGGTCTTAAGAAGACCTGGAAGGCATTGGCCTCATTTCTTTAGGAAGCATCTTTTGGAGGTTCAGCAGTGTTGGTTTGAACAACTGAAAAAGGCACATCCACTAAACCACCCACTGTGGAGTGGAAGCTGCTGGAAGACAGGCCTGAGCCATTCTGCACAGACAGGCTTAACAGCCCTAGCTGTCACCACTGGCCTCTGGGGTCTTCATATCCTGCCATCTCATCTAGGGTTCTGTGAAAGGTACCAGGGTCCTCATGTCCTTCCCTAGAGCCTGAGTGGTATGAGATGACAGGTCTCTCTCTC